ACACGTTACTAGTAAGATCGGGTAACCAAAAACATTAACCTTAATTATAATAACCACATGATGGATTATTACTTACTTGCTTAATCATAGAACCCAAAAAACTTCTTGGTATTTCTTTTTAAACTAGCGATTATGAATATCGTGATTACAAATAACCTATTTTGGATTTTAACGCCTTTCGATTAAGGTATGGATGGAGATGGAAATAATAATTATTTACTCATTCACTCACTCATGTATATCATCAGGAATGAAATGTGTTATGGTCAAGAGTTGTAAAGAGCTCTCTCTTCTTGATTCTTTTTACCTTCAAACAGAAAAGTAAAAACAATTGTCACGTTACTTGAGAGGGTCATGTAATCTAGCTTTTCTTTATGTAACTTTCTTTCTTTATACGATTAATCTCTTTTTCATCAAAAATGCATAATGTTATATAAAAATAAATACATCGAAATTTCGTAAAGTTCATTAGATTTTTCGTTTATTAGACTTGCAAAACTTGAACAATGCATGCGGCAGCGAGGTTGATTTTAGCATGTTTCGTTCTTTATAATGGGAATGGGGTGCGTTAACTTAGAATATAAAATAGCACGCAACGAAAGTTAAACGATTAATGAAAAATATGGGTAAATTCACAATGTATATTTTGAATTTGAACGTGGGAAGAGTTGACTACATAAACCTTCATTAAACTTATAGAATGCTACAACGATGCAATCACCCGCCACCAGTGAACTGGTTATTGACCAATAAGGAAACAAATTACACGAAATAAACATTTAATGGTCTGCTAAGCCGTATAAATATATATATAAACACAAGTTTATGCTGTTTCTACGAGTATAATATCCTTTTAAGTGAATATGACTCCATCCTTCGCCAATATAATTTTTTTTTGTACAAGCAAACCGCGAAATTGCGTGTAAAAGTCGCATATTTTTCATTTTTGTTTGATTTGTTAGTACTTACGTGTTTGATCAATAAACGCAAGGTGGTTATATATGTAAACAATACATGTAATACGAACCTAGGTACTTTATGTACAGCGAGTATGTTCAGTGAAAGTTAATTCGAGTGTGTACAGCTCTTGACATTTGTCAGATGTAGTACGTGAAGTGTCTGCTAATATCTCCATTAGTATTAGCATTACCACTTACTGGTTACGTGTCCGTTTATAAATGTAGGGTTACCTCTACTAGAGGTAATCATCCTGAATAATACAATAAACTATAACACGCTGTGGATATAAAATAAGTATTGTATAATTTGTAATGTGAGGGGGGGGGGGATATGAACCAATATAAGAACACAGAAGTATTCATTATACATATTTTGAAATGGATTATGTAAAATACGATTGCATTTTTGCAACAAATAGAAATATTTTGTTATTCCTGATAATCAATTACATTTCTGTTGTCTAACAGTTTACGAAAGGAAATCTACGGAAATATTAAAATCATAATAAAACACTATAAGTTAGATATTAATAATATAATTTGCATTAAAATACAATTATAGCAAATGGTATGTAATTTTAGAATGGACTGCATATACTTTGCATTTTTCTTTATAAATAATTTAAGTAAATTAGTTCCAAATAAAGCAATATCAATAGTGGCAAAATTAAAAATACCTAAGGACCAACAGAAAATAAAGAAATAAATTGTGAAAATTTGTTCAGGATTATAAAAATATTTGCGAATTTTAAAGACAATGAAAACTGAGAAATATTTTTGATACAATCAGACGAACCAAAACTTACTATAATAACTATTACACATAAGATTTGTTTTAGTAATTAGAGCATAGACAAAACCTGACAGATTGCCCTCGAGGACTGTGCAAAAACCACGATTATTATAAGGGAAGAAGAACAAGACGGTAACCGAATTCCATTACGTCATGACGCCTACCAAGTTGACAAATCCTTTGCGAACATACAAACCAGGACAGGACCTTGAAACATTCACTGAACGTTATCGAGACGAATCTGAGCAAGCAACGACGGCTGCGCTGGGCGCCCACGAGTGTGCAACATATTCGCTACGTTATGACTGTGACATGTAACAAGTTTTGAGATAAACACATACAGTTCTAGTATAACACTACAGAGTCAATACCTGCTAGCAAATGCGTTAAAAATATTACATGTTTTCGTACAGCACTATCTAGCGGTTATCATTAGAATTAAAATGATAGCCTGCGTAGATGAAGCAACACATTTTACTCGCGGACGAAATTCCCTTTTTTTTCTCTTGTTTTTCAAAGCTTTTAAATATGACGAGAGACAATTTTAAGCGTAGTTATAAATCCAGTTATAATAACATCCTTAAAATTATGCTACAACGCACACGTGTTGTGCAGGTACATGGTTAAGACAAATGGAACTCTACGCTTTAAGTGAATGTATTTTTTGTTTTAGAAAAAAAAAAAAAGACACGTAAGTCCTATTAAAAACGTCATGGGCACTAGTATAAAAAATTAACAGTAAGTACGAATGTATAATTGTACACTTAAACGTGATCGCAATTTACGGTCTGAAAAGAATAGTTGCGCTTTTATGCAACTGCACATGGAGGTCACAAGCAGTCAAGTTAGTTAATATGCACGTTACATAAGTATCTCTATGACAGTCAGTTTAAAAATATGTTATCTGGTATTTGTTGAACTATTCCTACTAAAAAGCGGTAATGAGCAATGTGATTAAGCAACCAGCAGCTGCGGGATGGAATAAAGCGCAGTGATGGTGAGTCACGGCGGTTGTTGTGCAACGCTTTTGCACAACTAGTCCCCCTAACTAAACCTTGCAGCTACTGTCGCAGTCTACAGCCTACCGCTGACGATCGAATAAATGCAATACAAGCACTGAACATTATTTGTCAATTTTGTACATGATTATAAATAAATTATTAAATAGTTAAAAATAGTATAAAGTTTATATACACTCGGTTCATGGTTAATTTTGAATATGATTTCGACTAGGTTTAGATACAAATTCTTCGTTCAAAAAATGTAGGGCACAGTCGATATAAGATAATAAGATTGCGTTTTTCTTCCGCGAATATAAGCTAAGGTTGCTAGAATTAACCACTGATACTCAATATAACAATTTTAATTAATGAAAGCATATTAGATTTACCAATAAGAAAATGGAACTTGAACAAAATAAAGCAGGTATTTTCTTATACAATGAATGTGGCAAACATATATACTGTTCATCTGATGGTAAACGGTTACTGTAACCTATGGACGCCTGCGACACTAAGGGTCGTGGGCGTGCGTTGCCGATCCTGAAGAATCCTTAATATTTTTTTTTATTAAGGTATTTAAAAGTTAAAAAGCATTTTATTAGAATCGGTCGAGTAAATCGTGAGAGATTGACTGAGGAATAAAGATTTCGCTTAGAACTTTACTTATAATTTCTTTGGCCTATTGTCATGTTTATGAACAGTGTTAGTGTGAAATAATTACATTGTATTCTACGAATTAAGTTCGACTATCACGTCGAGTAAGCTATGGCATATTTTAGTATTCTTAAACCGTGCTATAGAAAATTTTGTTGGAGAAATATATATAAATGAAACTATAAAGCATACATAATTCCGTAACATAAACTGGATAATATATATAAATAGATTGCCTACAGAAAAGATAATAATAAAAACAAACAGACCGGTGAATTTGCTTTTGTACCAATGCTTGAAAATAATATATATGTAAAAGCTCGCTCACAGTGCACTCGGGACCGGACCAGTAGCGAGTCGATGCACTCGGAATACCAAGTGTTCAGTAGCTTTTTTTTTCTATTTATACACACACATTCAAAAGGAAAGTGCTCGAATGAAGACTTTATAATTGTAGACTTGCAAATAATGTTACTCTTGGCGATTAAAAATTACACTCGCTCACACATGAAAGCTGGGCAATCAAAAGGAGAATCTGCTTAAAATGTTGACGAGAGAAGCATGGATTTCTTATTTCTGCATACGATTGTCAGATGTATGATGCCAGTAGATTCTGTGCATGCGACAATAGAAGAATTTGTACAGAAAAGAACCATTAAAGCACCATCATTTTGATTGGAGATCATCGGACTATTCCAAAAATGAGACAATTCTTGTTGAAAAGCTGAATACTTTCTTATTTCTGCATTACGATACGACTAGTACGTGACAATAGCCTTCTTACCGAACAAAATTAAAATACATACAAGCAAGCTGCGTAACGCTAGATTTGATAAAGGCGAAAAATTCTATCTTAAATACGACTATAATGGACCCGAACAAGATGTTGATGTTCAATCAACAAGTCATTCGTGAACCGAATACTGCTAACACTGAAAAAATCCCATTTCAAAGGCAAAATACGAAGATTTAAAGAAAATGTGCTAAAAAGGTGTCATACCAGAAGTATATGCAAAAGAATATCTGGATTTGCCCTACGATAAAAACACAAGAGAACGAGACTAATAAAAACGACGACTGAGTTATGTCTTTTTTGGTATTTCATTTTGTTAATAAAGCCAATTCACTTAGAAGTGATTAATGATTTTTTTTTTACTTTTTTCGTACTTCTGACACTTTGTCCGTCTCTGTCTGTTACCGTATCTCGATGCTATTTAGGGTAATCGTCATATCAGCTCTACCTAATAACAGTCATCAGTTTTAACGTAAGCGACAAATGTATGTGATTTTACGCTCAAATCTTAATATTTGAATTAATAGGAGGTGCCCACATAACACTTAGTAGAAATTTCAAATTGATGCTTCGCGCATATTTAAAAAAAACCTTCTCCTGTAAAATATGCAAAATGGCGGTTACGATGTTCTTCCTGAAAAGGCTCGATATGTAAAAGCTCACTCACAGTGCACTCGGGACCGGACCAGTAGCGAGTCGATGCACTCGGAATACCAAGTGTTCAGTAGCTTTTTTTTTCTATTTATACACACACATTCAGAAAGTGCTCGAATGAAGACTTTATAATTGACGCCGAGATATTACACTCGCTCACACATCTGGGAAGCGCTGGCAGTTCTGCTCCACTCGTGTTCGCGCATACTCTTCTGGAAAGCGGCAGACTTTGGTGTCCAGGAATCGACGCCGAGATAGAGCGCTGGCAGTTCTGCTACCTTCACCTCGAGGCGCTCGGCAAGCCTCTGTTCCACGACGGATTTGGGACCGCTTGTTAATGGTCGTTGTTGCTCCTTTGTGTTACGGCGGTCTGAGCTTACATATCCATTTAATTTTTCTCCGTTGCAAGACGTCACGCTTTTCGGGCTATCTGTGTTAAGCAATTTGCTTTTAACGGTGTCCGCCTTACCGTAACTTTTATATTGCACTGATTCTATGCCGTTCGCTGTTCGCGAATACTTCAAAGAATCATACGTGTCGCCATTCAGGCTGTTATATTCTACATTATTTAGATTGATGTCTCTGTCGATGCGCTTGCCTGTGCCATCATACCCATTTCGTTTTGTATAACGTTCTTCATGGCTTTGTTTGAGAAAGTTATTTTCGAAACTAGTTTTACATTTAGGAACATTATTTAGGTAGTCGTTATAGCTTATATCCTTATTGTGTAACCCTTTATCACAGCCCTTTTTCAATGTTTCCTGTATATCTATACCATTTCCATTGACTCGACTATAACTAAAGCTTGCAGGCTGACTAATGTCCACTCTATTATCAATAGAATCTATTCGTTCCACTTCCTTGCTTTCAAGTTCATGTTTAACGAGAGCAACACGTGAAACGTCACCATTCACTAGATTTTTTTGTGACTTTGCTGTGAAATCAGCTGCTGTTATTCCAGCCCTGTTTTGTTCATTGGGAATGGTCCATGTATCATGTTTCTTCTTTTCACTGCTTTTGGAAGACCACGCTTTGGCAAGTGCTGCCTTCAGTGCTTCTCTTCTCTCGTGCACGCTAACCCTTGGATACTCGTGGATGGGAACAATGGCAGGCGCATATAAAGTCGATCGCGGTGTGGCTCGAGTTATGCGGAAACTTCTGAACTCCCTGTTGAACTCCGAATTCAGAGAATAAGCTGGTATTCTCGAAGTCACCATTTTGAGATCAAACTTTTCCACTTACAGTTATAATATTACTTTGTTCACAATCAAATTTATATTAGCACTGGTCACACTGATCACATATCGACTATACCTGCAATAAGTTGAGTTTGAATGTGTTGAACTAAATTTAAAAAATACGAAATTATAGGAAAAAGGAAATCTATAGTTAGCAATATTTTGAGGCGCATGGATGCGCCGATGGGCTGTGGGCTGCGACCTTCGCGGTGGGCGGCGGTGAGGTGGGACAACGCACTGGTCAACGAACCGCCCCGTACACCGTCCACTCAGACAGTCAGCTTGCATAATGCACTCGCAAATCGCTGTCCCACCATATCTCTTATGCAGTTATGCCACCGATCACGATATACGTTCGTACATAACGTAACGCGATACAACTATCACGCTTACGATATTTAAATATTTATGAACATTACTTAGTCAGTGATAGATGAATCTATTAAGTTGTAGATAGTGATAAGACGTCACTCATGTGTATTTTGTAGAGCAGTTACGCCGTATAAGTGCAACAAGTGTCGCCTTGATGGTATCCCTAATATGGCTTGTAGAGCTGCTGCCATATGGCATATGCTCCGCGCCATACATCCTCTACTAGCTTCAACTGCATCGCTACATAATAATATATTACTACACTATACAAACAGCTTTTCTGGGACATCACATTAAGGCATTAATACCACATTAGTGTCATTGTGTTGATAGATTGGTTTACATTATAAAATTATTGGGAACAACATTCTATGCAATGTGTTCTACATTTACGCGATACAATATTTGATTACGAGTAATTATCTTTTCAGCAAAGATTATAATTTATATTGTAGTGTAAGTTGAATATAAGAACGTATTAAAGATATTATTAAATACAATGTTTATTAATTCAAAATATTGTCTTCTTCAGATAACAACTTGATTGACTTTTTCCTAACAAATGACTTTTTCCTAACAAAAATTTTAATTTAGATTTTCTTGTGATTTTAGTTCAACACATTTTCCGGTCTAATTGGCTCTATCGCAACACTTTTACAGAGAAAATTGACAGCTATATCACTTAAATGCGAACACAGTTTGACACTTGCACGCATGCGGCGGCTGCTCCTCACAAACAGCATACAACCCCGGGATATTCCCGTTATTGTGCAGTAGACAAATGAAGCAGTTGATCAAAACACGAAGGAGAGCAGCCACCGGAAGCGAGTGCGTGAGCGGAGTTGCGGCTCGCGGCGTCCGTTGCATACCTTCTCGTAGCGCGCGCGAGAACTGCGTGCGGTGTGCGTGCACCGCTGCCACTATACTGACTGAACCAAGGGAGGCAACCAACGCACGGCCCGCTGCTAAGACCCCACCGCTGCCGCTGCCGCTCTCCTGCGGTTCACCACTTGTGACTCTAACGCGAGAGTATTACGGCCGGAATCGCAGGAGCACTGACCTTCTCTACAACGCGAGTCGTCAACATACGAGCACTGAGCCTGTTTGTGTGGCCGCCTGCATAGGCCCGAGTGCACTACTCGTTCGGGTTAAATATAAAACATAGGTACAATAAAGATAGACAATACCGAGTTATTCTTAAAAATATCTTCAGAAGAAGTAACATTATTAACTGCTCCATGTTACAGATCATGTTATGAACAACACGTAACATTCATTGATCAAAATTTCATAAGAGAAAGAGATTAATATCGAAATAAAATATCAATTTTCGCTGAACATTCTTAATATTCCTCTTGAAGTAAAACATGTACCTAGAATATATTTGTAGAAATGATGAGTTATGCTGATTGAAATAAATACCTATTTATGTGCAGATTATGGTTTCTTTTATTAAATGTTTTAATAGTTTTAATTTTAGTTCTTAAAGTTTTGTCGTGATTTTTCATAATTAAGTTTTGCCTAGACATTCGTGATTTTTAATATAACGAAAGGAACAGATTGTTATTTTTTAAATTCTATTATGCAATTTGGTTATCATAGCCAATTGTAATCCGATTTGGATAGTTTTTTTTTCAATTGACTCTCGTGTTCGTGTTTTCTTATTAATTTAAGTACCCTTTTTCAGAAAAAAATATTATAGAAATTAAATTCTTATAACTTGCTCCCAGATATTAGTCATTTAGAATTACGCAGTTATAACATTAGATTATAATGCAGGATATCTTTGTTTGAGGTCCGGTCTATTGGTATAAGTGTCTGAGTACTATAATTTGTATTAATGTCATGTCAATAATTAACCTATTAAAGTTCTTGTTAAACGATAACGATATTGAATAAAATTAAGATCTCACCTAGAACATTTCTTGCAAAGTAAAGAATCACCAAATTACCTGGAACAAATTATTAAAACCAATATAAATAAACAATAAAACATTAATTTTTTTAGACAAACTGGATAATATTATACGAACGGTTAATATCTAATGTTAATAAAGTCATGAACATATCAACATTTGTACAGAAGGTCATGAAAGTTTCGAAACTGCGGTGCATTATGTATGCATTTGGGCCACAGGTAAAAATAAAGTAGGCACTTGACTGTTTCAGATGTATCGATATTAAAAACATTATTTATGCTAACCAAAATATACTAGAAAGCTTCATTCATTTTAACAACAATTAGCTTCATTATTTCATTAATTACCTTAACTGTATACGTTATTACATATCATATATATGCACATAATTAGAATGTAACACCAATGTAAGGTAATAACATTACATTCATCTAGTCTACGCATTTTATTTATACGCAATATATGTTTCTATTACAAATGAGAAACGCCATGCACATTGTATTCGCATATATCTTCCAATTGAATAAATCCAACTGGCAAATTTCCATCGCCGAATATGGAGAAAGCTGTGAAGACTCGATATTAAAAACAAATTGAATTAAAAGCCCGGAGAGATCCTCCGACATAAATTATTACTGCCTACGTTTTCTTCGGAGCAAAAATTAAATAAATAAACCAAGACAAGCAAATTATTGTTTGAGTAAATTTATTTAATATTACCCACCGCACTTTATATTAATCGATAATTATAATAAATTTATTATCACGACCCGTGGCACATAATTAGGTGATGTTAAACAAATGAAATTTATTCAGCTGTTGATACTGTATGCGCTACATTTGCTTATCCTAAAAGCACATATACAACTAGGGTTGCTAGATCCAAGTTAATATTATGATATTAAGAGTATAATAGATTGAAATGTGATGATATGAAATATCAAACTCAAGTTCAATATTTATTTCAACAAAAAAAAATTGTATTTTATCAGAGAAAATCTAGGCAACTTGAGGTTTAGATAAACTCTCGTTACCGCGTAGAATAATGAGAGTATAATACCACATCAGTCGCTAACTGTCCACTGGTGAACAAAGGCCTTCTTGGGGGGTTTTGCCAGTAGTTACCACGCTTAACAGACAGATTGTAAACCACAGTTACGCTTTGGAGATGTTTTAAAAGAGACGCTGCTGCCTATCCCTCGGCTATTAAATTCCTTTAGTCGCCTCCTACGACACCCACAGGAAAGAAAGGGAAGACTTATTCTATGCCGGGATCACACGGCCTATATATAATTATAATAAATAATGTGCAACTACTGGACTGTAACAATAATTAGTACGCAATATGTATTTATTGTCACAATCCAGTGGACATAGGACATTAAATATAGTTTTGGAAGTTTGACGAATTTTCAAAGTATCTGATAAACTGGCAACCACATTTACAACATAAGACATGGTCCGCTTCATATTTATTTATGTAAAGAAGCGAACATGGTATATACTACAACATTATTGCTTATTCAGTGGTGATGTGTGTCACTGCCAACGATTATACGCTTGTATAATTCTATTCCCCTTTTAACTACATAACCTTTATCTTTGGCTTAAATAGTACATAATCACACTAGTATTATAAAACAAAATGAGTTTATTATATTTCCACAAATAATTAACATTTCATTAGAAACTATGTACATTTGGTAATTTCCTAAAATACCCTTTAATAAATAATATTTTAAACAGAAATATAACTTAAACATACACACACAAACACACACACACAATGGCTATATGGTTTTCCTGTTTATTCCGTGTTATCAGACATGTGTATGACTCCTGCAATTTATTTATTCCTCCTTAATAGGAAGAATAAATAAATTAATATTAAGATTTTATTAAATATATAAACGATTAAATAAATAATTTCATTTACAGTACTAATTTAAATTATAATTGACCTATATAAAGTTTAAATTTGTTTAATCAATATAATATTCAGTTTGAACAATGTTGAATGTTTTATTACGTATAACCATAATACAATACAACCCCAATGAACCAACACGAATGAACCCTAGGCATTGTGGTGCCTACGATTACACATTGTGGTTCGTTCTATAATGTCGATGGATAACCTTTCTATAACATTTTAAATATTACTTATATATACTTATATAAACTTTTCTTATTTAAATCTGAAAAAGAAAGATAATTAAGATGCTATTAAATATTTAATTCGTAATGTAAGCGTGAACTACTATCAAAGCACCTACACCAAAATAATTTAAATTTCAAATAACAATTCTTTATTTGATAAAAAATATTGCGAAATCGAAGTGATAAGAAGTTTTCGGAACTCTGTGAGTCAGCATGGATTGAATACCCTGTAAAACCGTTAGGCAGACGTTCACGCTTCCTACACAACATATTCGTGTAAACCCTCCATCCGTTACACATACGTAGACAAAAACACAAAATCGATGGTACATGCAATGCAAATGATGGGTAAGGAGCTCTCGAATTGTGACTGTAGGCGATCGCGTCAGACTATTCAATTGGTGGCACGTAAATGGCAGCAAAAAATAATGGCAACGGAGGCGGCGTGTAACCGACAAACGGCGAGGTCCAATGACCCAAATGGTTCATTACTAGGCCGCCTAGACTAACTAACGAAAGAAAAATCGGTCACCGTCTAGCGAACGCCATTGCTTCACCTTATGCCTTACTCTCAACTTCACAGGAAGTGGTACTTGATTGGCTATTAGTGTCAATTGGATCGACATATTCTTTTTGTTTATTACAGAGAGATACTTTATGAGAAAAAGACATTTTCGTCTTTTCGTTCACGCAACCGCATGGGATATAAAAGCGGAATATTTTAATGCATTGGTCACGCGTCGAAGTCTATAATAGGAATCCTTTCGACTATAAAAGGAAAGGATACAAAGCTCATTATCACCAAAACAGAATCAAAATACTTCACGGTCAAAACAAAAAAGCTAGGAACGTAATCTGTATTAACAGAGCTCTATAAACGATTGGTGTGCTATTCAAGCAATGACCACAGCAAATTAATCCTCCACCATAAATGGTGTTCTACAGAAACTTGATCTGGCAGCCACGAGTTCAACACAATCTAAATAATTTATCAAAATAGCGTCTATATATGGACTTCCTGGAGCCCTGGGATTCTTCGACACCACTTAATAAGAATTGCGTGCTTAACTAAGTAAGCGTGAAAAGGCGCTTTTTGCACTCGATAATTACTATTGATCAGGTCGGCTCGCGCCAAATACGATTCTAACATATATGTAACACATGCCTATCTCACATCATGTGTACATATTTTTTTTCTCTCAGTAATTAATGTACATTAGCAGAAGGCGGTGATGTTCTGTATTTCAAAAAGTAACGCAATAATAACTGAGTCAAGAGTAACGGTCCTCATTAATCATTGAGGTCAAAATCGGTCAAACTAAACATGTATAACCGAACATTACTCGATATTTGACGCGTCATCGTAATATTTTTCTAACTCATGTATTGTCTGTCAGATGTTTTCTCCCATTTTATTATAGTCGTTTATTTTCCTGATATTTACAACGTAAATCTATGTAGGTATATACGTATATTATAAGACATGCTTATAAAAACCAGACTAGACTATGATTATATACTTTATATATAAACTGGTTCGTGTAATACAACATATTATTTAGATATTTAAAAAGTAAGTAGGTGTATTCACACTGTTATTAATTTAATTTTGAGCCGCCCTCATACAATATAATATCGTTACTAAAACTGACTTAATATTAAATATGATTTGATATTAATAATATATAACAACAAACACCTATTTAATTAAAAGTTATAATATGTTGTTAAACATAATATTTTAGAAAAAAGTCGAAATTAACAAATATTATTAACCGGTACAAATGTAGACAATGCAAAATAAATAAGGCACGATGATATAACGCAAACGAGGTTCTGTTATCTCTACCAATTGAACGAAAAAATATATATATATATAGTAATTTTGATAATAATCAAATAAAACTATAATCCACTGATGAGTATCTTAATA